GCAAAGATTGAGCTACTGCTCATGTTTCTAGGCTATGAAGTTTAAGTGCCTGCACTTGACTCCACAGCTGCACTTAGCTGGGTTTCTGAACAGTTGAGCACTGGGTCTCAGTGGTAGCTTGTTAAGCCATGGCAATTTCATCCTTTGTGCTTGTCTGTCCATAACTTGTAGCTCAGGATCCCAAGAACACAAGTGTTTCACTATCATTGCTGTAAAGAGGTGCAGACACAAATATTTCAAAAGCTGAGAGGTCTTCTGTGATGCTGAAAGCACCTCATACATGACACTCAGGGATGGCCAACCCAGTCCTTCACTGCCTGACTTTGTCAGCTTTCTGACATAAAGAAAAATCAGAAACAACTGCAGTTTATGGACCTCAGACCTAAAGGAAAGGAGGGAGAGTGGGGTGTGCATGCATGTGCATGGGTGGAGATGGCTAATACATATCCAGAGACATATTTCCATGCCCTTTTCTGTTTTTCAACAGTCTCTTGTGCCAAGGAGTGAAGAAACTTTTTTTCTTTTCTTTTTCCCACATTGGCATTTTACAGTCTCTTACAAGCTTAAATCAGACAGGTGAGAGCATGGGATTTATGGGGTTGTGCTTGTACAAGCAGAGAGTTCTCCCCTCCTATTCACCTCCAAGGCTCCAAAGAGAATCAGCCTGTAGAATGGAAAGGTAAGAAGATAATTATTTTTTGAGAGGAGCACTAAGAAGGAAGAGAGGTAGCTGTTTTCTGTTTTATCTTAAAAGTCTTGCCTTAGAACATTTCTCTGTTGACACTCCATGTGCCTGCATGACCCTGAATAACAGAGTTGGAGGGATAGATATGGCAAGGGAAATTCAGAAGAGAAAGAAGACTTTGCCAAAAGGAAATCTAAAAAGAACAAGGATTGAAAAAGCAGCCAGGGGTAACTCTGATGTACAAAAATACATTTATTTTCAACAATTTCAAAACCACTGCCTTTTTTTACAGTAGAAATATTCAAATGGAACAATAAAACCAAGAACAGTATATATATATGTATATATATGACTCATGCAGTTGTATTACTGTGTTCAATACAGGTATTGCAATTGTCTGTCTCATTTAATCCTTTGAAACCACGGTGGTGGTTTGGGTTTAATGCACTGTCCAACATCATCAGAAAGAATGTGAGGATTCTGGTTTGGTTCATTAGACCTGGAATAGGTGTGGGAGCTGACTGAAGGGGAAGGGAGGAGAACAGGACATCAGGACATCTTTGTACATCTGTGAAACCAAAGTTTAGTCCAAAAGAAAATGCACACTTCCTACACATGCTCTCATTGATGGCAACTGTGTCTGAAACATTCTCTAGCCCCCTGCCACTCTGGTCTCACCTCTGATCCTTCCAGGTTTAGGGTTGGGGTTCTTGAGTACTGGTTAAACTAAACAAAGGTTCATTTTAGAGCAGACTGTCAGCCACACAGAACCAGAAGCTGCATCTAGTCTCCAGATCTCATTATTCCTCAATTACAGCTAATCCATCATGGGGGAAAGGCTGGCAGTGATAGAGGGCACTCACCCAGTCTCTTGCTCTCTGCCTCTCTCTCTTTCATTTCCTCTTTTTATATAATTACAGTGTGGGAGCAATTTATGTTCCATTGAAGCCATTGCCTATTTCCCTCATTACTCAGGTAAATAACAATCTACAGCTTCCAGTACATTTCCCTCAGGGGTAAAACCTGCAGGGGGAAAAACCCTAATGACAACCCCAAGTCGTTATTTTCCAGCAAGACAAATAAAAGTGGCCAATACTCCAGTCTGTGCTAACACTGCAGCTCAGCCCTTTCAAAATGGTGAAGAGGGCTGGCTGCCCAGCCCAAACCCTGCAGAGGTCCCATGGACAGACAGGAGTGCAGTAATCCCTCTTTTTGGATTCTAAAGGAGCAGATTTCAGTGATGAACCCAAGCTTTCTCCAGCTGCCATCAGCCATCGCTGTGCCCTAAAGGAGCAGGAATGACCTGGTAAATGTGGTGCCATGCACACCCTGGGGACGTGCCTGGAGCCTGTCCTGACAGGTGTGACAAACTGCACTGAGAGGCAGTGACACCCACCAAGTCCTATGGAAGAGGAAGTTTGAGCAAACGTAAGAATCAGTCAGGCTTTTCTGACATGGCAGTTTTGGCTTCATGGATTTTTCTTGATTGCTTTGTAGGATACTTTAGGATCATTTTGGATGGAAAATGACTTTCTAGACAGATGTTTCTCCAAAACTGTCATTCAGAAATTTCTCAGCCTTCACTGAGATTAAATTTCTTTTTGAGAAGTGAATTTTTTTCCATTTTTTCAACAGCTTACTCCCAATTTTTCCTTCTTACTTTCTCCCATTTGAGACATTTAACAGCAATTTTAAAAGTGTAAAGGAATAAAATGTAAAAAAATTGTGAAAAGAAATTAAGGAAAAAATTGTGAAAACTGTAATCCTCTGCCTTTCTTCTTAAAACAGCATGAGATGAAGCCCATGAAAAACCTATAAAATTCCAAACAACAATGAAAATCATCACTTTGCCGCTTGGTTTATAAAGAAAAAAGTTAATACCGAAAATAATGAGTATTTTACATTCAGCCCTCTGCAGCAGCTCACCACAGCAGAACCTCAAATCCTAATGATCAGCAAAGACTGAGACCAGCCCACACTTCAGCTCAAAGCCCATGGGACCATTGTTTATGTACATCCCTCCCACCTCCACCTAAATGGGAAGCTATGGCCTTGTGCTAACAGTCTTATCATCAGACTGGGCCATTACTGTAAACTACTGTGGAGTTTCAGTAGAACAGAGACAGTAATGCAACAGTTTATGCACTTGTGATGGATGGAAACCAAGGTTAAATAGAATAACACAGCCATTGCTCTTCACCTTGTATTAGAACCCAGACCAGGAAAGTGAGGGGGAAAACAGAAGATAAATATTTTTAAATCAACAGAAAAAAAAATCCACAAAACTCACTGAAAAAAACCTGAGAATATTTAGTTTTAGTACTTCTCAAGAAATAGTTTTTCCTTATTTTTCAGGTTTACAATTTTAATCTTGAAACACTTCCTGAGTTTTGCAAAATTGTGTTTAACCAGTTTTCTCTCCACCTGCAGAGCCACCAGGATTTTAACCTCTGAAAGACATTCCAGCCCACTAACAGAGTGAACACATGAGGCTGAGGCTGGTTTGTAGCCCACTGGCCTGTTGCAATGCAGGGAGATAGCAAGTAACACCCAAATTCCAGCCATCTCCTCATTTCAGCCCAGGTGTATTCAAGGCAATTGAAGTCCTGTACCCAGATCCTAGAAATTATAACAAACATTGTCATCTGCTGTTATTTCTGCCTCCTGTTACCACACAAAGACTAAAACATCTTCCCAGACATGCCCCCCAGTCTTCCTTTCCCTCCTGCTGGGTCCTACAAGCCAATACTCTGCAGAATAAGGTTCATTTTTGACATCATCAACTCAAGAAAAATGGATAAAAAGTAACTCACCACTAAGTCAACCTCTTGCCCCAAAACTCCACCTCTTCATAGGGATATCCTCAGTTCAGTGTAATAAAAAATTTCTAAAGAGCTTTTTCAATATCTTTTCTTCATTAACCTCCCTGTTCTGATCAGAAAACACCAACCCACCATGCAGAAATCTCCACTCTGAGCTGGGAGCTGCCATTCTGCAGCACTCACAAGAAAGGACCTTTCACAGCTCATTAATGCAGGTCTGACCCTCCACTGCCCTCTCCAAAGAGCAGTCCCTAATCGCATGCATCATGTTCAGCCAAAATTTACTACTCTTACACACCCTAAATGGCACTTCACTTCATCAGCTGAGCTGCAAAAAGCATGACTTCCCCCTGGGAATAAAGCTACTGCAACCTGCCCCACTGCTGAGCTGAGGTTGTGCTGGGTATGGCAAGGCCACTGATATTTACCTACACAGAGATGGTGATAATATTTCAGGATTCTTTTCCTCATTTTCACTAACAGATGCCACTAAGATCATTCTCAGAAGTGGGCAACAGTGACAAGGATGAAGAGATGATAAACATCATTAAAATATTTATGACAGGCTCATAGTCTGGCTGCTAATATCTTTTTCTGCTCCATCACAGGAAATGACACCATATATATATATACATATATGTAAAAAAAGGCTTGCAGTTATACATAGAGAAATAAACTACTCTCTTTATAGAGAGCAGTGTCAGATTGAAATATGACAGACAACTGGAACACACTTGGAACCAAAGTGTGACTCAAGTGCTCACCAGGGTCCCTGTTTGGCTGGCTGTACGTGGTGTGTGTGTGTGTGTGCACGTGGGTGTGCACGTGGGTGTGTGTGGTTCAGGTTTTCTTTTAAACATATCTTCTTTTACTAAACATTAAATTATTTCCCAAGAAATAAAAAGCTATGTACATTGTAAATATCTACAGTAGGCCTTCGGCATCCTCGCTATTCACATGCACAGGGGCCGGGCTGCATTCATAAACTCAGGCTCGCTCCTCCTCTGCTTGTGGTGCTGTCCCCTCCAGCCAGTCTGTGGTCCAAGGAACACTGACGTGTGGGTTTGCTCTGATTTTGTCTTTTCCTTTCTCAGCAGTCAACAGTGCCAGAGGGTGACTGAAATTAAAAGCAATTAAAAGAGGCAAGATCCTGCAAAAAGCTGAGACATGCATGTCACTGGAAAGCGAGGGATGTTGGCATGTTGCAGAGCCTGGTCCAACAACCCAGTCTGAACCCTCTGGCAGGATGAAGCAGCTGATTCATGACTTATTCTGAAAAGGGCTGAAAAGGGACAATTGACTTACAACATGTTGCCTAAGGTACGACACCTATCTGTTGGATTTGAATATTTAATTCCCATTCTGTATGTAACAGGAAGCTGGCATTCAAATCTCATTGCACACTTGACTCATTCTTTGCTTTTTATTTCTAATCTGATGTGTATTCCCTAAATATGAAGAACCTCTGCTATTTATGAATGCAGCCCTGGTAAACACAAAAAGCCCACCCCATTCCCTCCCAAATGATAATAATGACATATAACTCTTTCTTTTTTCATAATAATAATAATAATTATAACAATAATAATTACAAATAAAAATTCAGAAATGCTGTAGACCAAGTGGATTCTCAGTATTAAACACTAGTGCAGTTGGGGATTTCCTTTGTGCTTTCACTGTTGGCAATTGTTGAGATGCTTCCTGTGGAGGAGAAAATGGAGAAGAGAATCAGTGCAGTGGCTTCAACAGCTTGGTCTGTATTGCTTCTCACTCTTTAGGATGTGGTAGTGTAAGTGTAGAGACAGAAAAGATGCACATTTTTTTATGTATTTGCAGTAAGCAGGGAGCATGCAGAAAACTCAATTGCTACAGGTCAGCTGACCAGCAGTAAACTCATTAAGCTATTAGGGACATATTTGCTTGTAATCACAGCACACCAACAGTGTGAGCCTGGCTCAGCTGGTTCTTCTGAGAGTACAGGGAATTTGGCACTCTTCCACAAGAGAGGCAGGGTCATGAGCAGGAATAGGTGTGAGCCACAGCCATTACTAACTTTATACCTCCTGCTGGAGTCAGGTTCCTACCCTGGGAATAGCTGAAAATCTATAAGAGAAACTCCATTATCCTGCTGCTGAGAGAGATTTACTCCCTATCCCAGCACCCCAGGGCTCTACTTGTACCCAGGGTCACAGGCACTGCCTCTCCTAATACCCAAAAGACCAAAATCTTCACCCAGACTGTGAAACAGAACGCAGCTGAGGGTTGTCTCTCACCCATCACTCGTGTGTCCAGCTCTTTGTCCATCAGCTCCTCAGGGTCTGTGAACTCACTCAGGGTGATTTTGGGGGCATTTTCACTTTGGCTGACAGAGCCAATCATTTCCTGCTCCTTGTCATGCTGAACTTGGGCATAGATGTTAATCCAAGGGATTTTCCTGCACAGGAAAGGAAAATGAGAGGTTGTGGTTTATAACACAGGGATCCTCAGAATGTCATTTATTAACGAGACAAACTAAACTGAGAACAATCCCAGAAATGCAGCATGGGCAGTGATGCAAAGTATGAGCTCTCAGAATGGTGAAAGTACCACCCAGAGGTTCATCTCTGAAAGTGCCCTTAGCATCCACTAATTCCAATAACAGCCAAAGGTACTCCAAATCTCAGGCCATTGTTTTCACATCATGGGCAAAAAAGCCTCCCTCAGCTGCAAACTTCAGTGTTCTGCCCTTTTAAATCGTGCACACAGTGGACACTGCACTCAGCTCAGACAGCAGCAATTAACTAAGGACAATCAGCTGCAATTGTCAACTCTCTCAGTATTTATTATATGATCAGGATTGCATTGGAAACCAAAAGTAAAAATCAATTTGGCACTAGTATCAACTGAGCAAAAAAACTGCTGGGCTTGTTGCTGCTGACAGGCCCACACTGACTCAGAAGAAATTGTCACATCTGAAAGAGTTATAAAGAATTGCTCCTGCCTCAGAGTCAGGAAGGATTTGGACCTCATAACACCCATCCAAAGCCTATTTGTTACCATTCCATTGCAAAAACCAGTTTGTCATGCTATGGATCATGCAAGTTTGCAGGGACTTATTTTTCCTTGCTGCTCAGGAAGCCAAGGAAGTGAAGGGATTATTTCTTCCTCCTTCTCCCAGGCAAAGTTACCTTGGTCTGCTAGAATTATATCCTTGAGAGTCAGTCAGGTAGACAGATTATACAGGCCTAGACAGACAGGAAGTAATCCCTGGAGGAATGCAAGTTTAAATGAGAGAGCTGAAAAGGAATGTGTTAAGCATCGTGGGGTTTGCAGGATTATCTGCATTGCCTGTTGGAAGTTGACTGTTTTTCCTAATGCTCTTAGAAAGTCTTCGTGCCATGCAGTTCACACTGCTCCAAAAAGGAAAATTTGGAGAATATTTTGAGTTCCTTAAAGCACACAGGAGTGGGAGAGAAAGAAAACTTGTTCAAAAGAAGTAGCATAAAATGCCATATCTTTATGCTGATCTATGTGCTGTTGGATATGTCAGAGACTAAAAACAGTGGAAATTGCCTCAGCTCTCATGAATTCAAGAGATCTATGCTGATTTTACTCCAGTGAAGCTCTGGCCTCAACCAACTTGTGCTATTGGCTTGATTTAGCATTCTGTTCTTAACCAGCATCAAGCCAGGACATATTTGGGATGTTTAGCAGCAGATGACAAAATTCATGATCTTCTCCCTTTCTCCTACCTTCTAATGTTTAAATATGCCGTATATGCCACGAGAAGATTTGGGAACTCCACAGGAAATGAGTGAGAACTAATGCATTCCCATAGAATCTAGGTGCCCAGAACTTGTCTGGAGGTGTATAGAGACAGGAGAACATGGCTGGAGATAGTGGAAGACTTAGTTCTACTTGCAAACTGTGCAATAGCAGAGCAGTGATCACCTCTGAGTCTCTGAACTTTGCGTGGAAAGGTGGGAAAAGCTCTGTAGAATTGTGAGGCTGAGAGCCAGGATACTTCAGAGAGTTAGGGAAAAAAGAAACTGGGATCCCTGTACATATGTGAATGCATACCCAAATCCTAATCCTGCTGTGCCTCCCAGCACAACACAGGTGGCCACAAGCACATCACTCTGAGCACACACAAGCCCACAGTCCTGCCCTGCTGTCCCAGGACAGACACCTGGACTGCCCCACCGCCCCACCACTGCTCAGCACTCCTACACACACAGTATTGACTGATATATGCTCAATCTTCCAGAAAAGAAACATTTTTACAGATTATTTCCATACTTTTCCCTTCTTCCTTCCTTTTCCACTGGGACCTCCTCAATAAGCATCTCTCTGGCAGCAGTGTTTAACATGCCTGCTGAGTCTATAAATTGATGGACTCGTAATAAGAAGTCTGTGTGCAAACCAGCAAAGCACCAAATCTATGAATTTGTAGAATTAAAAAATCATGTCAGCCTATGCTCTCCCATAACCTTTCCCTGTAAGCAGAAATTCTGTATTCAGGCTGGGACCACCATTAATCAAAGTACACGTGGCTAATGGACTTCTGCATCACTCAGAGCCACAGGAAAGCTTTTGGGTTTGCTCCCCTTTTTTCCATTAAGAATCATTGCATGCTCCCATTTCTGCTCCAGTGAGCCAGGGGTTTCAGACAGAGCTGAAAAGTTACTTTCTGTTCTGAAAAATTAAGTTGAGAACACTCTGTGTATATGACTTATTCTAAACTTTGTCAATTTGATCTGTGTTTTTCCCCTTTGGGACAGAGAGATAAGAGGAGACAGCCAGTTAATAAGCTTTTGGACTAAGCAAAATTGATGCTTTGACCACCTTCCTCTTTACTCCCAATTTGTCATATAATCAACTTTCAGACAGATTTTAACAAGGCATGGTCTCCATAGCCCTAGAGCATAATAGAAGGCTGATGGCTGCTGTACTCAAAGCTCAGGGTGCTTAAGTAGTACAAGAGTCAGTTTTATGAGCTGTAGTAGCAGAAAATGACCCAGAGAGTGCCAGAGCAAAGTGCATTAACAAGCTCTCACTGTTCTGTGGCAGCTGGAATATAAAGACTCTTCTTTAACTACTAGTGGTAACCACAGCAATGGTAACTGCTGACCACAGGGCCAAGGACATCAGGCCAAACCTAGGAAACCATCTCACCAAGACACAAGGAAAAGCATGTCTTACACAGGGCTGTACCTACAGCTTGTCACATCTCCCAGGAAGATTTTGCCTTCCTCATCTTACATCTGTGTATGAGAGTAATCATCAGCTGCCTCCCCAGCACACTATTAAACTGGTGCCTTAAACAAATCCCATTCTCCTGGGAAGCTGTAGTCACCTCACAGAAGCAGAGAGGGGATTTCAGGCTGCAAAATGAGGTCGTGCTGAAGGCCTTGAAATCTGCCTCTGAGCAGAGTCACATAAATGTTTTCTCTGGAAATTGTCCTGGGCCACTGAAATCAGTGGGAGCTTGATAACAGTTAGCATGTGCACAGGATCAAGCACTACAAGGAGTGCCACTCACTGATTAGGACAATGGTTAATGCAAGATGTTAGCAAGGAGGGAAACTTTAAACCTGGAGCTTAGGATAGATGCCTGTTTTATCATATAATTTAATTTTGAATATTGTTTGCATCCCACTAACATCCTTAGAGAATACTAGCCTTATGCTGGGAGCAGAAAAGCTGGAGAAAGCAACATTTAGCTGGAATCTGGACAGGAAAAGCTCTAGTTCTTCATTTAGAGAAACTACTATGTCCAGAAAGTTTTATTTATTTAATTTTAAGCCAGACTTGGCTCATGTTTCTAACACAATATTTTGCCACTGGTCAGGGTCTAGGCACACAGACCATTTTATACTGTAAGCACTGTACTGAATGCAAAGTTCCTCCTAAGGAGCTCCATCTGCCTAAAATATATCTTCATAAAGCAGGCCTTCAGCAAACAGGCCATTCTTATCACATATTTTGGTTCACAGCTTGCAGCAGCCAAGTGCCACTGGCCAGACCTGGTCCTGCCTGCTGTCTGGAAGCAAAAGGTTTGTATTAACATCTGTCAAGGTAAATCTCAGCACATATTTCCAAAGGCATTTTGGTGCTTGACACAAATTTTTCTGGCTTTGAGTCTCCCACTTTTAACACAAACACACCTGCTCCTCTGCAAGATTAACCTATTCACTTTAAAAGACACAAATGAGATGCTGCTGCACTAAGGCAGCTGGGCAGGTGGGTATAGACTGTGTGAAGTCATCCATCATGTGGTTTTTGACTAAGCTTGCTTTGTGTATCTCAGTGAGCACAAAGGTTCCCATTTCTTGTTTGTGGTTTAAATACATCTGCTGAAGCAGAAGATGATTTCTGAGCTCTTGGTGAAGTTTTGGAGCACCAGCTTTGTGATGAAACAGCAGTAGATGATTTCCTAGGTATCAGAAACAGGGAGCTACATTCATCTAAGCCTGATGCCCAGCACAGTTCACCCTTCATTTGCAATTCAGGCACAGCTCTGCACAAGTTTCCTGTAAACCACCCAGAGTCTCTTCCTCCCACCCCAAAGTTTTCCAACTTACCTCTTGAATTTGTAGATTAAAAAAACAGCCAAGCCCACAAACACCACTGACAACAACATCAGCATCGCTGAACTGCTGTGACCCGAGCTGGAATCCACAAGTGGTGCTGCAGGAGGAAAGGCAAAGCATCACACTTGAGGAATATTACAAGGAAACACATTAAGTACCAAGAGTTGAGCTCAACTCTGTCACATCTGCTTTATCACTACTGTATGGTGCATGCTGGTTTTGGCAAGACCAATCAGTAGGAAACAAATTGGTTCTCTCATCCTTCAGAAGTCAAGGCCCTTTTTCAAGACAGTGCAGTCTAACATCCCTGAGTGAAAAGGCACAGCAAGCCACGCTCAGCTGAATGCCCAATCACTCCTGTATTAACACTCTGGGCTATTACTTTTCAGGTTTTTCCAGGTACTAGAGTGGAAATGAATTTTATGAAGCATGGCTTAATACATATCTGTTCCCCTTCAGAGAAGATACCTTAGAGCATCAATGAACAGCACAACTCCCATCTTCCAAGGATATTCCTCTATCTCACCTACGACAGGGATCTACCCTTGTGACAAGCCTCAAGGTCCATCCTTGTACAGGACCTTAGAGACTTTTAAATTGAGTCAGTTTCATAATGTGGAGGAGCCCAAAGCCATAATCCTGAATCCAATCACACAATACATTATAATATTTTGGAGAATTTGATCCTTGACATTTTGGCTGGCTAAATACAATATATTCTTATACCTTGTTTATGCAGCTATTCCAAGAGCTCATCAGAGCACATCTTAATGGCCTGAGCACTGTGCTGAGATCAAGTGTCTGATGAGAAGTCTCTAATGATGCACAAATGATTATAAGTAGCAGCTGAGTGTTTCTCATTTTGCATAAATATTTGGCTTTGGTGGTTTACTATTCTCTATTCTTTTTCCATCACCCTGAAGATAGGGGCAAAGTCATGCAAATAGAGCCAGTTCTGATTTCACTGTCAAATTTCCACACCTAACAGTCTGATCCTGCCAGTATTCTGCTGCTAATACTTCTGACTCTTTTGTGGGAAAGACTGTCACTTCATCCAAGTCAAAATACTATGGAAATGGTCATGAAACAAATGCAGCACCTGCACTGGAAAGGGGGAAAAAATAGCTGCAAAACATAATTTAAATGCAGTGCCTTGCTAGAACCAAGCCAGATTCTTGAGAATTCCAGCCACCTGGAGACCTCAGACATCGTATCACATTCCCAGTTTTGCAAATTAATCCATTTCAGGCTATTCCTATTAGGATCAGACTCACATTCCGAAGGAGCAGTTAGAGAGTGAAGGTAAAAAGGCATTACCTACCTGTAGGAAAGGTCATGAGCCTTGATTTAGCCCAGCTCTTGGCTCTCTGAGAAGAAGCTGAAGTGTGTTATTGTGGGGTATGAATCCCAATCTTTCAGAGAGGCTATCAGCAAGGGCACTTGCCCAAGATCCCACATTTCAGACAATTGCAAGGATAGTCATAAAAAGTAAGGGCAAAAATAAATCCATCCCCTTCTTTGTAACCATCACTATTTCATCAATAGCTGAGACCTTCACACTAGGCTGGTTTGAAGTAAAGGCATTGACAAAGCTTAAGTGGACTCTCTGTTACTTTGTGCAAAAATGGAGATAGGTAGTGTTGAAATTTAAGTTCTAATTTTTGGAAGTCAGTAATCAGGCACATATTCCCTGTAAGAGACCTCAGTCTTTTCCTGAATGCTTTGCCTCTTTAAAGCCTCCTAGCTAGTCATAACAGTAAAAAGCACTTTGCTATAAGGATTTGATCTAACATCCATGAAACTCAGTAATATCCCACTGAATTCCACAGGTGCTCAATAGGGACTTAATAGAACACCATTCACCTGGTTTTCTAAAACACTTGAAAAACACCAATGCACTTGTTAATTAAGCCACAGGGAACTCTTACAAGGTACTTTTTATACTTGTACAAACTGGAGCATGAAGATGCCCCTGATGGGTTGGTTTTAACACTTCCTGCTTCTACCAAAATGTCTCAGTTGGCACATAGCCCAGTGCCACTTGCCAAACTGTGAGTGCTCTGATGTAGACTGATTCTCCTGGAGTTGTCTGAAGCCTCAGGAGAGCCACAGCTGTGCCTTTGACTCCACACTCACCTAATGTTAACTGAGTGACATACACAACCACTTCAACGCCAGGCTTCAGTTCAAACTGGACCAGATTCTGGTTGAGAGCATTAAAAAGGATTTCTACCACCTGATGAAATAAGAAGAGATACAACAGTTACAGTATAGAAGATTGCAAAGTCTGGAGAACATTCAGGAATACACAAAGCCCATGAATAGTGGCTGACATCTCTCACTGGCTTCAGCAGGGCCCAAGGAAGTGAAGAGAAATGCACTTTGTGTGCTTTGGGTGGAACTGGGTGTCACTGCATGTAAGCCTCCCTTACAGAACTTCTGAGACTCTCATTGCATGTTATTATATCTCTCCTGGGAAGCAAACATAGAAGGTTTGCAATTTTGTGTTTCTTTTCTGGGGGCTATGAGCTATTCACCTTCCCTAATATCTTTTGAGTTCAATCAAATGCATTTGGAAATCACTGATATACTGGCCTTTCATTGGTGGATAATGAAACTAAATTAGGCAGTCCAGACCTCCATTTCTTTCTTCCCAATGATTCTGTCAGTTAGCTTCTATTTAAATAGGCTGTTGGGGAATGAGACAATCCAGTTAAGGTCAATGGAAAATTTTCCATATTTGTCCTTCACTTAGAAAAGGGGCCTTGGACTGGATATGCTGTAATTGCTGCACTGGGAGATCAGCAACCCAGCTCTGGAGTGTTATTTGGTTGCCCCAGAGCACATACTCAGCACATCACCCCAGAGCCTCAGTTTGTTAATGCCTGATCTCCATAGAGTAGTTCTGATGGACAGGGCACAGCTAATGAGTAGTTCTAATGACCGACTCTCCAGGCAGAGCTCCTCAAGCAGAAGGCAGCAAGTGCCAAAGTACAACTGAGTAGACTGTCAACTAAAATTAGAGCACTAGAGCTTTAGGCCTCATAGTCAATTAGTCAGAAAGCTAATTGAGATGTCAGCATAACACTGATACATGAAATACTGACACAACAGCTTGCTCAGAAGTTTTAATACCGGTAGACCCTACTGGACAGGACAGAAATTACTCCAAGAACATCCCTCCAAAAAGCCTTTCAAACCTTCCCACCTCAATGCATCTTTTCTGCACACTGACCACCGTAAATTTAAGAGACCAGCTTTGATAACTTCCTAGGACAAAGGAACTACTCTGCAGGGACTGACTTTACTCAGTGGGTGACAAGAACTTCCACTGAATTCACCAGTCCTCTGAATAATTTAATGTTTGATCCAAACTTACAAGAGTTACTTGGCAATGGGCTCACACATAGTTTGCACACTGTAAAAATACTGCATATAAGAGCATTAGCTAGAGCCAAGCAGCCTTTCCAGCAGTACTTCACTCCTTTGCCTTTATAGAGCTGATTTAATCACTTGGTAATTCTAACATGAGAGCTCCAGCAGCCTAGTGCTGTTGTTCTTTCCTTGCCTGCATATCACTGTTGCAATACATCACTGTAATTACCTATTTATCTAAATGGATGGATATTGTAACTTCCAAATATAGTTTGCACAGACCGTTCAGTGCTGCAGAATAAAAAAAAAAAGAGGTCTTGTTGTGGTGATCTATGAGCTGAAGTGTCTGATTTATTTTTAGTAAACCTCAGTATATTATCTTGCTGCTTTGGCCTCCCTTTATTAGCATTCCTCCAGGGAGTAGAGGGAGTACATATTCAAGGTTCCTTTGGTCGTAACTACTGTAAAAAGGACACTCCACTGATTTAGGAAGAATCTCTGCTAGTGGTAGACTGTGACATATCTCAGTGAGGTATTGGAAAATCCTGGTTTTCCTCTGAAAATCATTTTCTTTAATGCCATAAACTATGCTGCCACAGTCCCAGATGCATCCATTTCCACCACACTTATTGTTAAGTACTTCCAGTGCTGTGCAGCTTCAGGGGCCCATCTGCAAACAATATGACAGGAATAAATGTGCCATGAATCCTTCTCTCCTTACTTGCTCCAGATCAGCCTCACTGCTTTTCCTCCTCTCTGTTGTGTTTTTGTGGGGCAGTATGAAGAGTTCAGCAGAAGTAGGCAGCCCAGGGAACAGAGCTACCAGGATCTGCTCATCAGGAATACCAGTCACCTAGAAGAAAAGTAAAAAGAGGTCTCTAGCTGCTATTTTGTTACGTATGTTTCCAGTGACTTTGAGAAATGGCGTTCCCATCAAATTTATTATTTTCCAGTTATTTTCCAGTTCCACTGTAGCTGTTGTGGTCCTAATGAGCTGTTTTACCTATTTGGTGGGTCAGAAACTGAGCTTCTGCTAGAGATGCACTCTACTTCCTTTCTAGAAGTGAATGTAAGCTTGACAACACCCCTGGGCCCAAAGATCTCAACCCAAAGTCCAAACCTAGCATGTCTCCAGATCTGAACGTTCCACGTAGTCCTCCTTGCTACAAAAGAATAACTGACCCAAAGTCAGATCCAGAGAGTCTGTCTCAGAGCAACCACTGATAAATGTGCAGCTAACAGGGACAATATCAAGAAAAGTGCCTGCAATCACCTTCTGCTATCAGGTTACAGGGATCCACATTGGCCATACATGAACAGCAGTGTCCCCAGAGGGAGAATTCACTCCTGGGGGCGACCAGGAGGGCTGTGCTGGGAGCTGCTCACTTTGCTGAGCTGCCTTCAGCAAGACCTGCCCACTGAGGCTGCTTGCCTCCCTTCCCAAACCCAAGCCATGCATCCTCAGCAGGGCAGGAAGCCTCCCTCCCTCAGAAATGCTCTGCTTCATGAGGTTCATTGGCTCCATCAAACCCCATGGCCTCACTGCAGAGCTGAAATGTACCAAGGGGGCAGCCCATTCCTGGTGGGCTACACAAGCAACCACTTCTACCACACTTCTACTGTTCTGTAACCATTCACAGTTACAAGCTGATTAATTTTTTTTTTATCTTGCAAGCTTGACTCTTTTGCTATAGTAAAAGGGAAAAATAGTTTAAAAAAATAAACTTAGAGTTTTTTCAGGATGGAAAAACAACCAAGGAAACTCTTACAACCTGTGAATTTTGAGTGGGCTGCAGATGACAAAAGCTGAGCAGGAATGTACTTTCCCAGTAAAAATAATCAGCCTCCATTTCTAACAGCTGTAGCTAAAGCAAAAAAACCCCAATGAGATACATTTTTGGCAGAATGCCAAACCCACAAAAGCTTGTCTAAATCTAGCTCCTAATTTCACACAAAACTAAAGTCCCTGACTATTTGATATAATAAGTTATTCTGTCCCCTTTCCTGAAAGAATATGAGTACTAGTTAACATATTCTAATTAATCCCAAAGGAAGATACAGTACCTTCCAACTACAGAAGTTTCTCTTTATCCTGTATTTTAAAGGTAAGTTTATTTTCCTTTTGAATCCTCATTTTTTGCCCCAGTTGGAAAGGGAGTAGAGCTTCAAAATGTTCACCAGTTGCTACACTTAACTGCATGTGAAACTCCTGACTATCAGGAAAAGATAAAAATATCTTCCTCATGTATCCAGAATACTACAGTGTGTGTCTTCTGGGATGAAGTGGATCAGCTGTTTAACAACACTCACTAACACTAACCAAATGTTTGGAATAGAAAACAGTACATACTGTCATATCAACTTGGAAAAATAAGGATAATGATGATAGTATTACAATCTAGAATTTGCAAAATCCTCAGAGATATTAAAAGCTGAAAAGCACACAGAAATATTAAAAAAGCAATTGTAATATTTCCACAAAATCAGCAATACAGATTGGCTCTGTAAAAGGATCCAGCATATTAAAAAGGTTTTTATTGATTTTTAATGACAGTGCCATCACTGCTGTGCTTACCCATTCTTTTAAGCTAGCATGTCAAAAAAGTGCATGTTTTAACAGCCTAGTCAATGTTAGTACAGACAAGGAAACAGATGCTCACCTGTGCTAATGCTCTCTTGATGACTTTGCCAACATCTTGTCTCCATTCAGGGATGTCAGGGTTATGGTAATCCAAGTTGGGAGAAAATGACAGGAGCTGAGATTGGAAATACTCTGGAATAGAAAAAGTATTTATGAGAAGGTTAAATGTGCAGTGTTTAGGGTACAGACAAGGGTGCAGAAGACAACAGGAGGACCATAACTATCTTAAAGCAAGAGAGTGAGAAAAGGCTGAAGGAAGAAAAAGGCTGGCTAACACTAAGCAGGGCAGAGAGCTCTCAAGAAAAGAATGCTTATAGTGGTACTTATAAAGGATGTTTTGATCTGTTGCCAATTTCTGGCTTTGCCCAGAGAAACTGAGAGAAGTGAGAGGATCCTCGTGAAGCCTCTGGGCTTTGTAATTTTGCCACTCAACTTCTTCAGATTCTGCTCACAAGAAGGTTGACCAGCAAATAAGGCAGCACCTGGCTGAAATTTGGAAGGCCTGTCTGTAAAATTGCAGAGTGAACAATTGCTGTAAGTTAAGTTTTCTGTTTACCCTTCTGAAGGGAAACCAGGAGTGGCTAATTCCCCAACAAAGGAGAACCTAGTGGGGGTAATGACTGCCTCATCAAGCAATGGCTATTGACAAAACACTTTGAAGTTCTGTCCTGACTGAATGATTGCTGGGAGGAAGAAAAGCTTCCTAGTCTTAAAATACAGAATGATTTTAATTTTTCTCCAATTCCAACCCTCCCTGCTGGTCTCACCAAAGACAAAGTCTGGAGTCCTTATGGCAGCTGTGCACAAGGGATTTGGGCCAGTGGGAGGCAAAGATCCTACTTGGATCCAGGATGGGAACCACACTCTTATGAAACTTCTTAGTGTAAAAGATTCTTCTTTCTGATTTTGGAGATGTTCTGTGCCTCACCTTGAAGCAACTGATCTCCAGACACTTCAAATAAGTACCATTAATCATTTGGAAGAAGGCACTAGTTTTAGATCAAGATAAACCTGCCAGAGTATAAATGAGGAAATCCACAGAAAAGCAGGGATGTGCCAGCACATCATTTATGTGACAACTTTTGTAAGAACTGTTCTTTCTCTTTACATGGTCCAATATATTTTTAAATAAAACAAGTATCAAAGAGGACAGGGAAAGTCTCTGAGATTCTGAAGATTTAACCCAAAGTCAGATATTTAAAGTCTTTCACTTTTGACCCCTTAGTACCATGTCCACTTTATTTTTTGAGCAAATTCTTTTCTGTTAATCTCAAATTAAGGATATAGCTGAATAAATCTCCTCCACTGATAACACCAGAGCCTAGATTATGGCCTGGACCCATAAGCACTTGACTCAGGACATAGATTAGGATACAAGTTTATCAGAGGACATGTTTGCTGAAGGCATTGCTTGTTTATGTATTCAGACTTGAACTCATCACCAGACTGAGGGGCTGGAAGGACTCCTTCCTTAGAGCAGGTCAGTCTGCAGCACAGCACTGGATAGGACTATTTGGACTGGATCCAAATGGGTTAATTGTTTTGTAATAGAACCCAAAACTCTGGATCTTCTAAACAGAATGGCAAAATTTCTTCCAAGGTGTTTAAAACCTGAGTGAGGAGCTCTCTGTGGGACCTACTGGGGCTAAAGATCAAGATCACCTGTGGGTATCACTCTTAAACATATTTGATTCAGGTTTATTCCAGAAACTAGTGGAAGGATGGAAATTTACGAGTAAACACTGCATTTTACAGTGCTCAGAATTATGGAGTAGAAGGTTCCTAATATTTAATAATAGCAAGTCAAGTTATTACTAAATCACATTAACAAATTATTAAAGACTATTGCATTTCATGGCCAGAATATCAATAAACACCAATTTAGCTGCTGTTAAATCTGAGTATACAGTGGGACATTTATTTGTATTTAATTACTGAAATAAGACACATACAGTGCAACTACACAGTGCTGAGCTTCAAAGTAGCCCAAGTTATTTGAAACCCAGATTTCTCAATAAAACTTGAAGTCCAAACAAAAGCTTGTTCTCAAATGCTGAATGCCAAAAACTGGATAACGAAAACAAAGACTGGGCCAGGGTGGAAGTTATTCTAGAAGTCCTGGTCAAAGCTGCTGAGAGAGCCCTTTCACCCAGGATTTATCAAGCCCCAAACAGGGCTCTGTTGTCTGCTGAAGGGTGCTTTTTGAAGCCTGTGACATGCAGATATGGCAAGAACACAGCAAACATTCCCATGGGAAAGTCCAGTGGGCTCAAACTCAAACCTCCAGCTGTGACAGGAAAGATGGGCAGTGATACCAACAACAAAGTCATTTCTGTCCTCTTTTCCAGAGCCCTCCTGACCCCTGTAATTTGTACAGTCACTGACAGAGACACCAGTTGCATTCAGAACACCTTAATGATGCACTGTGACTATTTCTTTCCACAGCTGGGAAGATGAAGGAAGGCAGCCTGGTTCAAGTGTTTTTTATTTCTGGCAGTTCCCTGTCTGGGTGTACAGACACATCAACAGGCACAGGTGACACCAGCCACCTTATTAATGCTGAGGTTATAATTTTGGTTAGCTGCCCCATTCTATTCACTTCTGTATTTTGTCATCATGACACATCTGAGCTACTCTGTCATCAGAGGTTCCTCCAGGCATTATCAAGTTCCTAGAGCTCATTCTGGATCAGCAATGACTGTCTGCCCTTCACCCCCTGGGATGTGATTGCAGAAGGCTGAGGGTACCATGCACTGCGATCTCCTTGGTGTCCTGGATGAGGCTGCTGCCCCCAGCAACCTGCACGGTGACAGTGTTCATCCCCTCCACAGTGAACATGTACGAGATGCTGCTCTCCAAGGTGATGAGGGGCTGTAGGAGGCAAAACAAATGACAAAATCAGGGTGAGATTAACTCAGGATCACAACATGCACCTGATTTATCCACCAAGCAGCAACAGCCCTGCTCCTTGATACAGGCGTGGTGCTGCCAGTTTGCATGTCCTGCTAAGGCCCAAATCCTGTGAGCAGTGCCTCCTACAGGCAGAGGTTTTTCTCATTTCAGTAAATGTTTCCTGAAATATTCTTCTATTGAACTGCACTGCATGGACTCCTCAGCAGACCACAGTCGGCAGTTGCAGAATTAGCGCAGTAGAATGCAGCACTGTGCACACACAGCCAGCTCAGCTGCTAGATTTGCTGTACAAAACCCAACCTCAAATTGAAAATAAACCAAAGATGCAGATGCTTCTTCAAACAATCCATATTGTTCAGATTCAGGGCCAGCCTTTGCTTTTATGAGCACAAATCCATTTATCTCTCAGAGAGCAACACTGCTCAGGTCAGAGTGAGGACATCCAGCATTGCCCTGTCCATGCTGTGAGTCTGTAAGCAAGCTGCAGCCACAAGCTGGCAAGCTATGCTAACCAGCCTGAAAACATGGCATAATTCCTGCTGAAAATGCTGACTGAATGTGGCTGTGCAAGGGATCCACCCTGGAGAAGCCCATGGGAAGGGCCCACATTGAAGAAATCAATGGAAAATGGTCTCCCATGGGAGGGGATTCCCTCCTGTGAGCAGGGAAGAGTGGGAGGCTTCTTCCCCCTGAGGAGGAAGCATTGGAAGAGACAACATGTGATGAACTGATCACAACCCCCATTCCCTGTCTCCCTGCACTGCTGGCAAAGGAGGAGACAGAGAATTCAGGAGTCAAATTGAGCCTGTGGAGAAAGGAGAGATGTGGGAAGGTGTTTTAAGATTTGGTTTCATTTCTCATTATCCTACTCTGATTTGACTGATAATAAATTGCACTAATATCATAAAGCCAAGGCTGTTTTGGTTTTCAAAAGTAATTAGTGGTATCTCTCTGTCATTATTGTGACCTGATTTTGTTATATTTTATGTATCCTGCCCATGTGAGGAGGGGAGTGATAGAGTGGCTTTAGTGGGCAGCTGGTGTCTAAACAGGGTCAACCCACCACAAGTGAAAATCAAAGGTCCAGCCTTCACAGTGCCACTGATCTGACAGCTGGTCTACAGAAATAACTCCTTATTTAGAGAAACTACAAAAATGGATACAGTGATACTAATCTCCCTTGCAAGAGCACACAGAGGTCTAAGAGAACAGATAAAGCCATTGTACTATTGCTGTTGTCCCTTCACTACACTTCCAGTTGGTTTTTAAATAAAACTTCCAAATTTCACCTTCCAGCTCTCACACTTTATCTCATCATGCTGCCAGCCTGACTGCACTTCACAACAGTGGTCACAAGTTTCATTTTCATAGCCAAATCAAAATTTCCACCTGCACAGGGCAGACTGGCAAACACATTTGTCTCTCTCTAGAACACCACCTTCCTTAGACCCTCTCATCCATGAGCTGAAAAAGCAGTAAAAAACAAAAAGTCTTATCACATGGCACACACAGTCCAAGGGCACCAGCTCGTGCCAGCCCTGGAGGCCTAGCTAACATTTACTGAGATATACACAGACCCTGGAGAAGCTGAATGGGCCTCTATCAGACTGCAGGGATATCAACAATCCTCCTGGAGGTTACAGGTTGTGGTTCTGTGCAAAGGCAGATAAGAGGATGCAGTCTGGCCTTTAAAATTACATTTTTTTTTTTCTTTTTGTATATGTGTATGCTGGACATTCCATTATCATGGATGATTTCACCTCCATCATGGAGTTTTTACATTCAGCCAACTCCTTAATTTTAATTCAAGAACCAAGACCTGGAAACTGACTCTAAATTAAATCAAGTAGTTTAAGGTTCATTTGCTCAAACCTATTAGACAGCTGGATACATCTATTAAACTGGACCTGTGTTAATCCAGGCAAATTGGCCTTTGGGCATACTGCAAAAATCAGTACAGTAGAAATTTAGTACAGGAGTTTCAGCAGGGTGGGGAGAGCAGTAGAGGAGTCTCAGCCAGGTCATTTGTGTCTAGGACAATATTGTCCTGTGCAGCAGCACAGAGAGTGAGACTGCACAGTGACAGGAGACACATCTGGTTCTGCCTGGGATGGCTACAGGCTGAACAGGAAAAGAAGTTGCAATGCCTCAGCATGGATCTAAAACACATAATCTAATAATACCAGTCACAATATTACACACCTCATCCTTTAATTCAGTGTCCCCATCTTTGACCTCTATTCAGAACACCATAGTTTACTCATGAGTGGGCACAGAGAAGGATCTGACATGTGCATTAAACATCCCAGGAGGAATTTTGATGTGATACAGACTGCTCTTCTGAAAAAAGGTGGCTGATACAGTTATTGCCATAGTTCTGTCAGAGTTGCAGTACATTCCATGAGGTAGCTGGAGATAATGCTTTGCAAAGACTGAAGACTGAATCTCTGGGTCTGAGATTCAGACACAGGTAAGTGGCATCACATTTACTCTTCCACATTTCAGCAATGAGTACAATCATGCCAAGGTGTCAAAGGATCAGCTCCATGTTCAACTTCCAAAGCACCCATCCCAAACACATCCACATTTGCTTGCACTCTGCTGCCTATGGGTCTGAAATTTAAACTAGACAATGAAACAGTTCATATTTCCATCCCAGGAGCAAGCACTGTGAGAACTGCATGGAAATTTTCAGCAAACACCACTGCTTTGCATTACCTTTTCTAGATCACTTTCTATTTCAAAAAATCTTTTTAAGGCCCTGTTCACAAACAACTTCTATAGTAAGGACAAAAACAATGGCAGGAAAACTCTATGCTAGAGGGCTTAAGCAGATGATCAAGTTACCAGTACTTTAATTATCTCTGATGTACTTTAATGGTTCTCCATGTGTGAGCACTGAGCCAAAAATATTAAATGTAACGGGATTTTGCATCCCTGTATTTCAATGCAGTTTAAATTATGTGGAATTATCTGGTACTTGGAATGGACTGGATGTGCATATGTGGGTGGTTGCCATAGTTCAGCTAGGGCACAGCAACTTGCCAAGTTAGAGTAAAGGGCTTTTGCTCCTGAGTTTTTCCACTGCCTCAACTGTGCTTCCACAAAAATCAGCGAGTTCTTACAGTGAGCTTCCTAACTGGATGTAGAATCCCAGTAGAAGCAGCACTTACTGTTTTTATTTCGTCTCTATGATACTGTTGGTAGCTAGGGTAAGAGGTTAAAACTAAGCAGCTTTGCAAAGAGAAAACAAAATACTTGTGTGCCTATTTTTTATCTCAAGTTCCATATTTCATGTAAAATCCCTGTTTCTTTCTGCTGCAATCTCACCTCAGTGAACAGCTTCAATTGCAAATGTAGACAATCACATGACTTAAACTGCTTTTGTAAATAACAGCAGAAACTACACTGTGAAATTAACAGCTGCACATTTCACAACTGTAAGAATGGAGAACAGTGCCTGTCTCACTCCTAAAGTCCACAATAAAAACTGTAGTTAATAGGCAATTCTGCTCTCTCCATCTGAAAGCATGATGCTAACTTGTATTTTCACTTATTTTAACTATTGCTAAAAAAGCTCTTTATAATACATACAGTGACATTACACATAATTTAAAAATTCACTACAAAGACGTCTCATCCCCCTCTCTAACATAGCCAGACTCTTCAGCTTGAAATTCTAGATACAGCTGTTTATCTGAACACCAAGAGCTTTAAAGTACTGTGTTGGAATCCAGCATTATGAACTGCACACTGGCACATAATGGAAACCCCCTGGTTATGTGAACACCAGCAGTTTTTAAACACTGTGTTGAAAGCCAGCATTATTCCACATATAGTTCAGTTAAGTTGCAAGTGAACGCTGGTAATAACAGTGGTCTTCAAATCTCAGTAGGGCTGATAACAACCAGATGGAGAAAGTAATGGCTCCTAAGAACAACACAACACAGAAGGAAACAAATTCACAAAGGTTGAAGTTCAGATAATGACAACCCTCTTCAGCCAAGTTAAAAACTAAAACACAAAACAGACAAAGGCAAGAAGTTTTTATTATGGCTGAGAGAGTTCCCTGGCTCTTGTGACAAGCTTAGGAAGAGAAAATGAACCAAAAGTTGTCTTTACCTTGGTGCTGTTGCCAAACCACCAGAAGTAGGTAAGTGTGCCTGCCTGGCTGGGCCAAACTACTGCAGTAATGTTGACATCCTTATTTCTGATGGCAACAAAGGGAACACTCAGATGGACGTGCTCCACTGGACCTGTGGGAAGAGAGTTCATTATTAAAGGCTTTGAGTTAAATCCTCCCTGCACAGTTGTGAACAGCAAGGATTTTTCCTTTAAATAATCAAAAGTCCTATGTCAGCAGTGACAGTCTAGTGACAGTCTATATTTTAGAAATAAAAGAGAATTTCAGCAGTCAATGAAAAACAGAAAAAGATAGTCAGATTTAAAAACACTTTTCCCCCTCCTATTATGCACATTTTCCATAGTGCTAATTTTCAGAGAGGGGAAGCACTGTGTTTAGGAGAGCTTTTTAAATGCATTTTGAAGAAAAACAATGAACTGTCTTTGCATTATGTAGTGAAGTTGCTATTGAAAGCCATAAGGATAGGACACAAGAAGGGGATAGGACACAAGAAAGGGATAGGACAAAATGAGAAAGAAGGTTTTTTTCTTGAAAATATAGCCACTGAGCTACTAAGATTTGTGGGAAAATCATTTTAGCCAAGATGGCTTAAATCTGGTTATATAAGAGTCATTTATCACTTGATTAAATACCCCAAACAGTTTTTTAAAAGGTCTCTAAAATAAAAACTCATGATTTTGGAAATCCTTGGTATCTTTTTGAACTAGGCCTGACCTTAGGAAGTCTTTGGGGAGTCAGTTGCCCCTGAAACTGAAAGAAAAACATCAGGAACCACTTGAAAGATGGGTGCATTGGCATAACAAAGCATGTAACTGTCAGAAGCACTTGATTCTGAAAGACTTGAAAAATAACAAAGTACCAATGCAAAGTTGTATCTAATAAATGCAAATGTCCAGAATAAATCCAGGGCATGAAGCCCTGAATTCAGAAGGCAGATCCTCTCTAGAAAAAACAACATGTGTAAAAAATATTGGAGGTTTTGTTTGGTAGTTTGTTTAAAGCTTCTACTATCTTCATTGTTTTTCTTCTTGTTTATCTTTTGGTTTTGCTGGTACTGAATTTCAGCTGATAAGTGCTGCCCATCAGACAGTGTTACTTTCTGGGCAGTACCTTTAAAACACAGCAAACTGACAGACTATCCCTGTGAGATGGAAAGGACAAAGTAAGAAAAGTCATAATCTTTTCTTTTTTTGTTAGACATTAATTCTGGGAAGCAGGAAATTTGGTGATTTTAACTGAGACAATCCTCTTGTGTTACCTCTCAGCACAAAATGGGGACATTAATCAGTTCTCCATCTATTTGAATGACAAAGATTGTGGAAAGCAAGAGCTGTTCTTCTACCACTGGAACATAGAGCTCCAAGCACAAAAGGACCCTATTCTTGCTTTTGGCACCTTAAAATTTGATCTTTTCCCCCCCCCTCCTTTCCCAAGAGATCTCTACCAGCAAGTCACTCCTGAACTCTGACTGTAGGAAGTACTCTGGGTTTGCAAGAACAGCAGGTTCCCCTAAATATTTTGTGACGGTGCATGTAAGAAGAAAAGCACTAATATCTTTGCTTCCTTTAAATTTCTAGTTAAGCTGCTTGTCAGCAGATTCCAGAAAGCTGAAAAGTTAACTGGCTGCTAATAAAGCTGCAGGGTAGAAAATTAATGGTGCTTAAGGCCAAGGAGCCTTTTCCTCTCTCTTTTTTTAGCACAGGATCTCAGTACCAGAGTTATTTCATAGTAAGAATGATTCTCAAGCATATTTGTCTGTACATTTGAACTTCAAGGTCAAACCTCCTATATTGACCAGTACTTCCAAATATATTAAAAGTTTAGTACTGAGGTGTCATCTTATTTCAGCATTAGCATGAATGTAAGTCCTTGCAAAATATTTCCCCAGAGATAATGATAATAATCTCTACCTAAGAATGCTATAAAAGTCAAAGGAGAGATCTGAAAGGTTGATGTAAAAAAGGGTGGAGCAGCAAAAGCATGCCAAGGAACTGTCCCTTGTTGCATTGTGCTTTAAAATCCTCACCATGAAAAAGTAGTTCCTTTGAGAAAAATCAGATAATCCATACAAATCTGATTGTTATTACCAGGTAACCATCACTTTTGTCAGCTAATGGCCCAAGGTGAAGGAAAAAACAGTTAATGCTCTAATAACAGGTTGTTAAGTGCAGCCGTGATTGACTTTGAGGGAATTATGAGCATAATAAAAGCTTCAAGGAACATTTATTCCTTCATACAGGGAGCTGGAAATTAAAATGGAGAAAAAGTTCTTGAGTTTTGGAAATTTCTAATGTGCTTCCTTTCAGCAGAAAAGCTCAAGAAAAAGGCAGGATGTAAGACATTCTGACAGGTAAAGAGGGAAGGCAGACAACGCTGTGATCACCATTAGGGGCAAAATTGATGGGGTGCAGCTGAACAGAGAAGATTTAATAGTCTAAGAGAAGATCAAAGAACTGGGCTCTTTTTGGTCTCATCCTACATTCCACACTCTCTGCTCTCTCCTGTGGCTTTGGGAAGTTAACTCAGAGCTCTATATTTGAGTTTTCTCATGTGTCAGCTGGAGAGAAATTGCATTGATCTACCAAACAGGACAGAAACATCGGGGATGCACGTCAAACACATGAAATGTGAAAAGCAGCACATTAGCCCTCAGTACATTCATATCTCAGGAAGCACGCTCAGCATAATGCTTCTATTTCATTAAATTAGCACTGTAAATGCTGAAATTCTGAATAAGTGACTCAAAATTTAGTAGTTTAATCTAATCCTCTTGGAATGAGATATATATTGAAAATAGATATCTAGACTTTGTTTCATATACTGCTTGGTCTCTGAGCCTTTCAGAAAACCCAATAGACATTTTCAAACTTTTCTCCATAACTCTCAGAACTGCAAATATACTAGTTTTAAAAAAATCCTTCCCTTTCCCTTCATTCAATGAAAGCTATTTAACAAGTTAGAGGAGTGCCTAGAAGCCCAAGCCTTTGGAAGAGCACGAGCTGCACATGTCTGTGGGTTTGCATCTATTCTTGGGCCCCACTGAAGCTGCAGGGACTTGGAGTGAGGTCAGATTTTGGCCCAAGGAATCTGGCAGGTGGAAGTACTCACAGACCACGTGCAGGAACAGGACAGCAGTGTCTGAGCCCAGGCTGTTCTCTGCAAACGCCGTCACCTGGAAAATTCCAGCACTCTTATACACGTGCCGGATGCCGTCCTCCACAGGGCTGAAATTGGCATAGGACACTGCAATACCATCTCCAAAATCAAGCTGGATGTTTGTCCTTTGGAGATCACCCTGCAACAGAGAAGGCTGGAGTAGGAAACTGGACTGATATAAAAGGATTTATATTACCCTCCATCCCACTAGAATGGATACAAAGCAGTAACTTTTCAAAAATTGCCGAGCTTTGTTCTGTCATTCCCCAAGGTGGCCACACACAGACAGCAAAAGACCAACACCTCATCCTAAAGTAGCTAAAACAGGTGACACAAATCATCTCTTGCAAATATCCTCCCCTGATTATACAGAGTTTAGAAGACCAGTTTCAGCTAGACATGAGGCTTCAGGATGGCTGAATTTATACAGGTTGAGTCCCACGTTGAGGACTGACAGATTTTTTTTGTCTAATGTCAGTCAACACAGAGACAGGGCCTGGATACACAGGAGAATGAAGCAGATGATGAGAAAATCTCTTCTAGGACTACTGTCAATGACACTTATTAAATGAAGGAGGGAAAAACAGACAAGAAATTCCAGCACCACAGGTATTGTCTGGGGACAGAAGTTGCACTATTTTAGTTTAAATCATGCTTTAAATCACTGCAGTTGAACTGTAGAAGTGTCTGTTATTTCGGTTTCTCGGAGCCTTACTTTATACTTGCCCCCAGCTGACTAATGTAACACAAAAAAAAAGGCTAATTTCAACAAAGCTAAAGCCCACTGCAGTGATTTCACTAAACTGAAATAAAACTACAACTCAGATTAAATCTCTGTAGTTTTAGCTTTCTGCATATATATAAGATGTGTTGTGCCAAGTAATTTCCTTCCATCAAAGATCTGCACTGTATTCACTGGGGGTGAAGAAGATACCACTACATTTTGGAGATATTCCTAGCCCTGAAGGGCCGAAGTCAATCCCTACATATACTGAGGACGTGATCTGAAAGTTTAAAAACAAAAATTAAAACCTCTGCTCATAAAGTTACCTTTTTTAATGGGAAATTCAGAAATATTTTACTGTTGTCTCATAAACCCCATTATAGCTTTAAATGCACAGGGAGAACATACAAGAAGCCGGACCACAATGAAGCAGGTCCCATGTGTAGAAAATCAAGACCTTAGCAGCCTCCACTGAATTTATCCTCCTCATAGACTATACCTGCATGAAGAATCAGAGCGCAGGAAGGGTATTTTTCAGATGTAAATTTACTTTGAGTATATAGCTGGGGTCTTCAGACACTCATATAATCAGGATTATTGCATGTAGTTTTTGAAATATGGGTATTTGATTATATATGTTAGCTCTCTCTTCCTCTTTGCTCCATCATTCCCATTCCAGGGAGCCAGGGGAGTTTTGGCTATTGACTTGATTGGGGCACTGTTTTCACCTCTGCCCCACTTGGACATTAAAACTTCAGTATAAACCAAAGAGCAATCAGAAAGGACTAAAATCGTGGTGACATTAAAACATATCTATTATATTGAGTAGTCAATAACATGCTTTAGACAGAGAGTTTTTAAAGTCACTCTAAAAAAGTCTCTAGCAGGAGCAAAATTACACTCTTGAGATATTCAGTTATTTGATAGAAAGGCTCCCACGGCTTGTTAAACCTTTCAAAACCACTTCTCAAGGGAATGCACTAAGACCTCAAGTCCATCTCATATGGAAGATACTGAACTGAGGATAAAAATTTGATCTGGGCTGGATTCATCACTGATGACCTCAGGCTGAAATCTCTTGCACCAACCATGGCAGCTCATCCCCCTTGCCTGACAATTTTCTTTCCTATTTCTTTCTTGCCTCTCCAATATGACTCTGTCTGAAATGAGACCGTTTCACTCAGAGAAGCAGGAACAGATTTTTCATAACTAAACAGTGGCAGATGATCTTTTCACCCAATTATGAGCTGGGTCTTCAATGTAAAGGCTGCCCATCACACTAATCATGTTTTTTTTCTCCTTTCCATACCTCTGTATCCAGTAAATAAAAAACTAAACCAAACATGCTAGTCCCACACAGACATGTCAGATATTCTGGAGTTTATAAATATAAATGGAAATAGAACGGAAATGAAGGCATTTCAAAAGGAAAAAGAAATCATTGCTATCCATTTATATTCAAGAGGCATGTTTTGTTGCTTTAAGCCCCATAAATAATGGAAAGGGAACAAGGTATGGGCTGGCACCAAGATTGGCTCTGAGTATGGAAATCAGTGAACAGACGTGGTCAAGAACACAACTCCACAACAGCTATTTGGCAGTCTAGTATTTCTTTGTGATCAAAATCAAACTCAGATTTTAAAAAAAGTCTAAAAAGGTTCTTATCTCCTCATGTTCCCTTGCATGTATACAGTCCAAATCTCAGTCCAGCCCCATATTCCTGAAAACACAGAAAAACCATCAGTCATTCTGCATTTATTTGTCTGTAGTCATTGCCACACATGTATTCTGAATACCATTGGAAAGAATCTTACTAAAGTTAATTCTATAAATCCTGAGAAATTCAGGTTTTGATTAATTATTATGAAGTCTTCATTTACCACTGAACACCTAAAGATCAGTCACCTCCATATATTGAGGGTGTGCACTAGAAGGCAGGAAAGAGCTGCTGGCTCATCAGGGTGAGTCTGACACAGCTGAATGGACACCACACAGATGTATCCACAGGAGGGCTGGTCAGGCTGCTCTTTGGCTCAGAAAGGAAGTGTAAACTTAGGTGCTAAACTACCACCAGTAAAGAGACTGACCAGAAAAGGTGGAAGAAGCCAGGAATTAATCTGTATGGCAGCAAGGTAAGTAATAATTAAGACCTCTACAGAAATTATTTCTTCCAAGTCGTAAGGAAATCCTTGGTCACAATTCTTCTCAGGTTCACACTAAAAGACTGGAATAGCTTTGTCCAAAATCTCAGTGTTCCTTTTCTTTTCTTCTTGAAATTCTATTATTTTAAGAAACGAACTCAACACACAACTTTCTGTGGAATAAACAGTTCACCTACAGAGACATATTCCAAAGAGTCTCTTCCCTTAGAAAAAAAAAAAAAAAAGTTGTTTCAATGAAATGTTTTTCTAACTACCATTATTTCTCAACAACAGACATAAGAGTGAACGCCCTCACATATTTATTCAGCTACCTCTTCAATCTCTAAATCCTTTCAAAGATTCCACTCTTCAGCTACCTTGACTGCTGCCTTATTCCCCATCTGTTTATCATTCTTCATACGCAGCAGTTCCACTTCAGTTCCTTAATAAATTACTAGTTGATTCCTAATTTTTAGATTATATCCGTTCTTTTCTGAACTCCCACTCATAGTGTCTATTGTCTAACCATGTCAAGTCTGCAGAATAGAAAAGAAGCAGTAAGTAGACAAGAAATCCCCCTTGTATAAAAGCAGCGCATGCATGAACCTCTGAGGAAGTAGTAAAGAGGCCCTGTCAGATTAGTGTTGTCCCACTGAAATACTTAGCTACTGTATAAGAATTTAATTTGGTGTGAGAATGTGTCTGTGTGTGGGTGGTCTGTCTCAGCTGTCTCCAGGTACTGCTCCAAAATAACATACACAGGACAGAAAATGTGACAAAAACGAGCTGTGCTCCTCCAACACTACCTCAGTCTCTGGCCAGAAGAGCCTCAACATTTTGATGCTTTTGGCAGCAGCATGGCCTGGTGTCACTTGTGCTACTGTTGGCTACTGAGGGAACTGTACCAATAGATAACTACAATAGATAAGGGCTAGGGCTAGAGTTGCTTTGAGGAGAGTTAATTCCTACTGCAAAATAACAATGTCCCTCATTGTTCCCCGTGAGTGTGAACATGTTCCCCACTGTTCTTAACCTTTCCCAGAAGCTAAGTTAAAGCTTCACATCCCAGATACAGAATTGTGGATCACAGAAACACCACTTCTGCCTCATAAACTCCATAAGCTGCAGTTTACTGGAAGCAGCAAGAAGTGAGAGGGGAAATAAATATTTGACCACATCTATCTTTCTTCAGCATTATCATCACTGATAGACAAGATAAGCAAACACCTTTGGTGTGACCCAATATGACCTGCTTGTATGTGTCACCACAGCCTTCAATTCTCTTAAATTCTTTAAGTCTCGTAAATCTCAGGACCATTCAGCATTTCATGATTCCCCCTTAATTACTATTTTCCTCTCAGCAGCCTGAAAAACAAAGGAAAAGAATGCCAGTCCCGCCACACAGAGAAAGGTTTACTGAGACCACTAACACACCTCCTCCATGAGGATGATGAAGGTGGCGTTGTGCCCCTGCTCCATGATCAGCTTCCCATCAGAGGTGAGGATGTGCAATCCCCGAGGTGCTTTTCCAGGGCATTTCTCCATCTTGGCCATGTACTTTTCTCTCAAGCCATCTGTGCAGTTGTTAGACACAATCCTGCGGTACCTGGGGAACAGGAACAAAGGACATTGGGCTCAGACAGTGGGTGAAAAGTTTCTTTGTTCTGTTTTTGTTTTGTCCCTCCACATTAATGCATGTGTTTTTTCAAAGGTTAACTCCCTGCACGATCCCCTCACTGAAAGGAAGACTCAAAGAAACCTAATGCTTTATTAAGTAGGAGAAAGCCAAACCAATCACAATTGAACCTTCCCCAGGGATTCTCAGCAGCATCACTGAGAAGAGACACATTGTGGAAGTGAATTACCCTGCCTTACTAAAAGGCAGAGAATCCCTCCAACCCAAAGCCTGCAGGATTGCATCCTGCATCCCAGCTTTTTAATTATACCATTTATTAGGTCTTGTCTGCCTCTGCTGGGCTAGAGGGCACTTGAAAAAATACATCAAGGGCTTTGCCCAGTTCAGTTTTAAAATGATTTGAGGCATGGGTTTTTCTCTTGGCTCTTCTTGGAAGATGTTGGCTAAACAGCAAAACTCAAGTCTTACAGCATTTCCTGCATGATAGTAGAACATTTGCAAAGTGATGCTGCCATAATAAACCAACATTTCCCATCTGTTCTGGGTTAGACCGGGAGAAACCAGCACATGAAGCTTGTCTGAAATGCAAGGCATTGAATGTACAAAGTGAAAATGGCAGAGGAAGAAAACATAAAAGAGACTAAAAATTGCTCATTTGAGCCTTCCTAGAAGCTGATATAAATAGAAGCTGTGAGATAGTAAGAGGTTCAGTAAAATACAATGTGAAATACCTCAAACCTGTCCTTTTAAATGTTCAGCTGTCTCTCAGGCAGACCTTTTTGATTTGTGTTTTAATTTTGCAACAAAGGGGAGCTCCAAGTCTAGGCTCCAGGGATCACACATCACTTGATAGCAATGCAATATCTATGTGTCACTTATGTTAACGTGCTTCTCCCTCTCTCTGAGGAACAAGGCAATTTTCCATACAGATGCTGTTGCAAACATCACCTCATGGATAAGACTGAAAAAGAGCATAATGGGATGCAGAGAAAAAAAAGAACTGTCCAGGTTCTCTTGTCTAGTGCAGTCCCCAAAACCAGACAGATTGCAAGATGCACTTACCCAGTGCTGTTCCAGTAGTTCTGACCAACGTTGCAATCCTTGGACAGGGAGGATGGGCTGAACCAGAAGGCTGGGATGCACTGGTTGTTGCTGTGCCTCTCATATCCATAGTCACTGTGGAGAGAAGTCATTAATCCATCTGTGGCCTCTGACTTAAATGTCACTTTTTGGGTTCTTTTGGTTTGTTTGTTTTTTTGCAGCCTTTGCTTATAGAATGAACCAGACTAATTCTAATATCTAATGTCACTTTTCACAACAGTGGCTAGGAATATAAAACACTGGGAGCACTTCCTGAGCAACTAGCCACAGTATGTATATTTATGTATGTTAATGGACTCCCTGGCTAAGCTGGGACTCGCCAGAGAGAAAAAAAACCAGCTGATGTTTTTCCAACACTAAACTAAAACACAACCAGCTTTGTAGTCTAAGGATTACATGGTATTGTGTCCCACAGGGAAGGCAATCCAGGGTATTGATTCTTCCTTGGACCACCTAAGAATGGAACTGTACACAACCACATCCAAAACTTCTTTTTACATCTGCCTTTGTGTGCCAAGACAATGATGAAGAAATAGGATTAATCCAAAGCTTTCCATAAGTTTTAATAGGGTCTGGATCATGTTTCTATGTGTAGCCTTTATTGACAAGCTGGAATCAAAGGACAAATAATAAAAAGAGATTCTGGATTTTTGCCTGCAGCAAGTTAACAAATGCCAACATGCTAAACCTCTGTGAAAACACAGACACTACAGAAGCCACTGTCTTGAAAGCATTCTCTGCCCTTTAGGATACTCTGAGTTTTATCCTTCCCCTGTTCAGAGCCTGAACTGCCAACAGAAAGTCTCTAGGAAGAGCTTTGGTGAGACAAAATTGTGCTATGTCCCCAATGGCCCAGGCTGCTACTGTTCTTTTTTTTTTTGGAGAGCAAAAATTCTGTGAGCTACTTTAAATGGTTTGGAGATTCCCTAATGCTCTTTCTCTCAACATTCAATTTAATCATTCTCAGTGGGTCCGACCTGCACAGTCAAAAATGCCTGGCAGGGACTTTGTAATTAAAAATATTCAGGAGGAGCTGTACTTTGCCCCAAAGAAGAAAAGAGCTGCATAAATATTTAATAAAATTAAAGACAACATTGCTGTGTGCCCTCAAGGTTCTGTGCTTGTTCATTAACTTCTGGTAAATGTATATTAAAACCTCACATGCTGCCCACCTTCCCTCTCATAAGCCCCAGGGTTTGCATAAGTTAAGGAAATAATCAAGTCCAGCTGCTGTGCTGTCTTTCTCAGGAAAGCTATCTTGACAGAGTAAATAAAGAAGCAGGAGGAGGGCAAAGAAAGCTCAGTGAGCACTTTAATACCACTTATGAGATCCTTCTGCCATTCTCTCTGTTAGAGAAAGGCCAGAATTTGCTTCTGGAAATGACTGCAAGGGTTGGCAGGAGTCACCCCCGATCCTGACTCATATGGATTTTTTGAACTGGGGCATAATCATGATTTATGCCCCTGAATTTTAGATCAGCCTTTTATCTAACTGCAGAGAGCAGCACTGCAGCCATGAGGCAGACAGGGGCAAGGGCACTGTGACCAAACGAGAGGGAGCACAGCCCCCACCACAGCGTGTGCTGAAGGGCTCCTGCAGTTGTTTGTCCTATCCCCACAGCCCTCAAAGGCAGGGGTCATCACAGCAAGTGGCACAGAGTGCTCCAAGCCCAGGACCACATCCAAACCTCCTTTCTGAGGAAGCAGAGGGCCCATCTGGCAGGACTTGCTGGTCACTGTACTCACACAGTCCTGGCTGCTGGCCCTCCCCTTTTCCCTGACACCCACAGGACCTGCCTGGTTCAACCCAAGGGACAGAGCAGTCAGTGCTTTCAAGAACTGGCAACTGTGAGCCCAGGCTGACAAGGCTGGGTGGACATTTTTCCTTGAAAGGGAATGAGTTGTTCATGAAAGAGCATCAAGTGAAAGTAGGAGCTGTCCTTTCACCTGTCCTGTCCACCCTTTAGTGAGCAGAGAAAAGGCACCTGTCAGCATCTCCCCTTCTCATACTGACATCCCAAGGAAGGCAGGTGAATCTAGAATATATTCTGGAATAACCTGCATCTTGCAACTGAGTAAGCAAGTGTTTCATCCTTTACAAGTCACAAATCAGAGCACAAGTTCACCCTTCTTCTTTGAGAAATCACTTTTAAAATGATCAAGCTCAGTGCCCCACTTCCAGCACTGCCAGTATTTTCCTCAAATGGACTGTCTCATACATTCTTCCAGTCAGCCCTGCTGAGTAGCATCAAAAGTCACCATAAAGTTTCTTCTGATTCTCCATCACCAGCTATAACAATTTTGCAACTGGAAGCTAGTTAACAATTCTGTTGGCAGTGCAGGGTCTGAAACAAAAGCCAGCTTGTTGTCCTCTAATTGCATTTCCTCTGCAGGACTGACAAGTTTAACAGCAATACCCTCTCATATTAGGGGGAAAGTTAATCAAAAATGATACTGAATGCTTGCAAGAAATCTGTCACGTGATTGAAAAGGTGCATTCTGATGCAGACCCTTTTCAAGGCAGCATTTAAGGCCAATTCAGCTACTACAGTTTTTCACTTACAACTTGGAAAAGACAAACTTCCCTGTGAAAATATAAAGTGGGTGAGGAAAATACAGTGTAAGGAAAAAAAAAAACCAAAACCAAACCAATTCCTTAGCATGTCTGGAGACTGGTGCTGGATTCACCCCAGAGGCCTATGCCAATTCCAAGGGCAGATACTGCAAAGCAAGACAGGTCATCCTGCAAGTTCCCATCATGAGAATGAAGGGGAAAGATCTCATGAGTCAAGATATGTAGTCTCAAATGTAATGTTGAATTAGGAACAAATTAAATAAGCCTCCAGATCAGATTAAAATCTCTGTTCTATATCCCCAACTCTCTCTTAAAGACAAACTACTACAATATTCAAGAAAATACTCTGATCAATATTTTTCGTAATTTTGCTGCATTTCACTATGTCCATGCTCTAAAAGAGAATTTTGAGCCTAAGTCCAAATAAATGTACAGATCTCATGCCTCACACCTCTTCAGAAAGCATTTGAAGGTAGATGAAGTGTTCAGGAATAACACCAATACCAGTCAGACACTGATCCTGAATAACCTACCATAAAGATTAAAATGTTTTCCCAGCTGATCAGCTTTCAGAATATTTTGAATTCCTTTTAAATGACATTCTGATAATTTAAGCTCAATCACAGACACTGACAGTCTTAAATCTTAGAAATATTGCCTATCACAGGTCAAGGTAGGAATTCCTCAGGCAGAGATCCTGACATGCATTCTCCCATCTCCTATCTCTGATTGTCAAGCAATAGCAAGCAGTGTCTCATTTCTCCCCTGCTTTATTTTTAAGCTGCTTTCAAAGTGACCTTAAAGCAATTTGAAAATTATGGTCCCATTAAGTTAGAAACACCAATATTTATGCAAAACAAGTAGTTATATCTGACAAGGGTGGGCTGTACAGTCATGTCACAGAAGCCCTTTCAGAAATTTCTCAATAAAACATTGTTAAGAAGCAATAAACTGTTCCCATCTATTCAAAAGAATAATGATTAAAATGTGCATGTTTTGCTGGCTTGCCCCCTAGGAAGTCAATGACCTTGGGAGAGAAATACCCTCCCTCTTCTGAAATGAATATATTTTGGACCAGAAAAGTCCTGGCTGTCACTATTCGGGAATGACAGACATAAAACGTCCACCAGTACTTGCAATTATTTTGCTTTTGAATTCCAGGCTTGGATTTCTCATGGAAATGAACAAATATTTCCTGCAGATGAAAGGGAAGCTTCCCTCACTCAGCAGGTTTGGGGGTCACATTTCTGCTATATGGTATGATCACAGCTATAAAGCTGCATGAGACTCACTTCTTCTGCAAGGTTTTCTGTCTGGGTAGTATTTCAGGACAAAAACACAGCCCCTGCACAAGTCCCCAGAGTCACATACTCACCACTCAAAGTCTCCTTGGCCACAGACACATGGTTCAGACACCACAGTTTGAGAATAGTCCCGACCTAGGGAACACTGGGCTCCAGGCTTGCGCTTTTTATAAATCTTCCTCTCCCCCATGACACAAGGCTCCCCCTGCATTGGCCAAGGAACAAGAGGAGAAACACAGTTGTAGTGGATGTAGCACTTTTTCAAAAGATACAAAAGGCAATTAAAACAAGCATTTATCTCTGTGAGGGTGGGGAGTTACAGTCCTGCTCTCTTTTGTTTCTTTGCAAAATCAAAAGTCTCCTTGGGAGGACTCCTGAGCACAGTGTGCTCAGCATTGAGTTGGGATGCCAATGACAATGTGCCCAAAATGCCTGGATGCCCAAGCCATCACACCCACTTATCTCACCTTCCAGAAGGCATCCACCAATATCTGGTCCTATGAATTATCCTGAAAAGACAATGGGGTGTAGGCCAGGGTTTTTTCATATGTCAGATAAAGTCAATTTTGATGTGTGTTTCACTGGACTTTTTGAATGCAAAGGTTTTCAAGAACACTACTGGGAGTAGGTAATCTAAAACAAACATTTGATATCTAGGTGAGTTGCTATAAACAGAATTTTCTATTTTGCAGAAGTATTTTGTCTGCATAGAAGTAAGAAAAAAGACTACACCTAATTGTAATGTTTCTCTTCCCTATTAACAGTGATTCCCAAGATTGCTGCGTGGTTACAGATATGTCTTCCCTTTTCTTTCATTTAAATTATTTTCATTTATTCAATTCTACAACTTCAATTATCTTATCCTTGCCAAATTAATATTCATTTCTCATTCATGGATTTCATTCAGGACTGCCACAGTGCCAATGGTTCTGGCTCTAGTTATGCTACCCTGCAGGCTGTGGGACATCATACTGGTAGTCAGTAACCCATAAGTAATTTGCAGAGGTTATTGACCTCTCAGTTATAGTTCCTTCAGGACCTAAATATATCCAGCATGAAAATAAGCCAGTGTATGAAAAACAAAGCATGTATCCTTGAGTAGAAAGAAATAATCTGGTTTTCTCTGGTGTCTTTTATTCAAGAGCTTTTCAGATTCAAGGGTTTTACAGATATTCAAGAGTTTTACAGATACCTGCAGGACCTGCAGGATGAATAAATGTTTTTATTTTCATTTTTGAGTAGGGGAAATAAGAGGCAAACTGAAACAAAATTATTTTCATGAGTCAGTGACAGAGCTACAAAGAATTCAGTGTCATCTACAATTCAATCATAAGGTGTCATTTTACACTGCCCTAAGCATTGAGGCCAAAAAGATCCAGCTGGTGCAATGGATTATATTCCTAAAAATAGAAGGTAATCTCCTGAGCTTGCCCATAGATACCAGGCCCCATGTTTATTCATGCACATTCTTCAAAGGATGCAAAAAAAACCATTCATATGCTTTGATGTAAAGAACAACTGCATTCCCACCTGGAAACACAGAGCAGGGGAAAAGGAACCCCACCAATGGAGAGTGGGGATACCTGATTGTGCAGATGCCAGGTCTGGTAGTCATCCTTGGTACACCTGCGGCTGAAGAGAGACTTGTAATCCACCTTGACCAGCTGCCACTCAGAACGGAGGCTGAAGTGCCCAAAAACTCTGAGCAGGGGAGACAAAAGAAAAGAAAGAGTCAGCCAGACTCATACTTCCATTCAGCAAATAACATCTCATGCTGCAGAAACCTATACACAGTGTTGGAGCTTAATGCCAGAAAATGGTATTCAGTCATGAACAATATTTTCCTGTTCTTACAACATCCCAGGAGTGTTTAGCCTTTTCCTGACACTCATACACAGCCTGTGTAGGAAGGTCTTCCCCTGACCCTAGCATCCAGCAAAATGGAACCCAAGTCTAATCACCCTTATTGCAATCTTTAGAGGACAGTAAATGTTACTTTTTTACTATTCCAAGTCTTTCACTAATCTATTTTTACCCAAGCCGCTTACGTGATTAAAAGTTTTGTTCTAATTATTCCAGACTAACAAAGAAAGAGAAAGACAAGATTTCCAAATTTTCCTATGAAATCAAAAGAGAAGCAGAAAACAAGACTTCCCCACACTGACTGTAATTCAGATCCTGCTGTGCCCCCAGTGTGCTGCCATTATTTATTCTAGTTGATCTTGGTTTACACTATAATCACACTGAGTTGTTGGCTCTCCACTCACTCCTTCTCTAGTCTGCACCAAAATTGCTCTTCATTTTGCTGTTCTCCATGAAACACCACCCAGGAATCAATCATGCTCTCCCCTGGAGACCTGTTTCAGCTCATGGGGATCAGAGATACAATGGTGGGTGGGCAATATCTGAGGGTATGGAGTGGTGGGTTTGCTGTGGACACCTGTCTATATCTAAGTTCTGCCTCACAGAGGAGCTCCACTGAGCTGACAAGCAGAACCTGTGTGCTGTCATGAACAAGTGGCTCAGGTTAGGAGTGAGCAAGTGAGGAATTTACTTGTCTGGTAAAATGGATTTATTAGGTGGATTGTTGCTGGCTGTCCAGACCCATTCTTACTGTAGTCCTAATTGCAGGGTATCAATGATAGGAAACACCATGGCATGCAGGCCATGCTGCAGGAGAAGCTGCAATTCCTGTTTCTCAGCACAGAAGGCTCACCCTGGACCAAGATAAACTCACAGAAACCAAAGCAGTATGGGGTGCCAGAGCACTGGGAGCAGGAGGGAGAAGGGAGGAGTGGGAAGGAGCATGGTGGGAGGATGCAGAAGGCCTCCAAACTGTACTCAATAGGAATTCTAACTGCAGATCCCCTCCCCACTTTTCCTTGGCACTGGGTATGTCCCATGGGCTTTCAGCACAAACCTTGTTTGTGCTGCATGACTAAAACATCAGTCCCTGCAAAACAGCAATGCAGCAAGCAGAAATCTTTTAGTCCAGCAGATTTACACCAGTATATGATTTGGTGCTTATTACATGGAAAACACAGCAAAAGAAACATGACCAAAGAGAAACAGTGGCATAAACCCAGAAGAAGACAGGGCTGGAGAAATCCAACACTTTGCAAATCAATGCATCTAAAATGAAAATCTTGCTCCTCAGATTGTCCCTTAGCTAACTGTCCATCAGGAGGGAAAAAGGTTTCTTTGTGGTTTACAAAAATACACCAGAATTACTTGATTTTTAAATCCATTTTTAAAAGCTTTTAAACAATTCCTTCTGACATGGAAATTATTCCATGATAATTAATAAAAAAACCCAAGGTTTTCTAAGAGGAAAGCAACATATTGGCATTCCAAAAGCACAGAACATCAGATACTCTTTAATTAAATGATTTCGAAGATGATCTTTGTGTATAATTGCTATAATTTAGATGGAAACAATGCTACACTAAATGGAATTAGAGCAGTGTTAACAGAGAGAGGTTTTCCTCTGTGCTGCAGCGATGGTTCTGGGTCAGCTGATTCCTAACTGAAACTATTCTCTACTCCACCCTCCCCTTGGTAATAAAAGCTCTTGGTTAAGGCTAATCAATCATTGTGGAAGAGATTTCTGAGATAAGAGCACCAGAGAAGCCACCAAGCACCTGCCCCCTGCTCACCAATGCCAAAGCCACCTACAGCGTGGCTTCATTAGCCAATGCCAGGAACGTCGTGTGACAGCTCAAGATGAATTTGTTACACATTTGAAACTTTTATCAGTTTCTATTAGCAAATACAAGGAATGGAGGAGAGTGCTATGTGATCTTTGGTGTTCTGAGGTTCTATCAAGCAGCTTTCCTTGGAAAGGGATGAAAGTCTTCATTGTGAAGATTAAAAAGAGCTAAACAAACAATAGCAGGGCACAAACCCCAACTGAGCAAAACCAGGTGTTGCAGCTGAGCTCCACTTCCTCAGTTTAATGAATGACATCACTGGATGTTTTTCCATAGTTGGCCAAGGTGCATGCACAGAACCTTTCCCACCATATCTGTTTTGAGGCGGCCAGGTCCAATAGAAGCTTGGGCAGACAGTAAAGAGCTACAAGATTTTAAAACTCATAGTGTCCAGCTATCAATAAGTGCTTGGCACTCAATGCTTCAGTTCCTCCATATTGGTTTCTATATCAAGTGCAAAGAAACAAAACAAGTTCCAAGGAAAGAGATGCAAAAAGAGATTGGTGGGGCCTTATTTTTCCCTACTCAACTGGTGAGTCCTCACATTTCTTTGAAGATCATTCAATTTATCTGATTCCCATGTGCCTTCATTTCCCATTTACTTTGGTCACTAAATAAGGGAGGTGATTTTTTTTTTAATAAAACAGGCAAACTATCAAGACAATACAGGGAGAAAGGAAATGGGGTACTATAAATTTTGCTTCAATAACTTTGCCTACCGTGGTCTAACTGAAAGCTCTTAATTGCTTGTTGCAAGCATAGAAAACAAGAGAGCTGGATTTTCAAGGTCCAGCTTTGAGAAGCCAACAAAGAAGGTATATTTTGATTCTTCCATATAAGCAGTCTCATGTGGAAGTCCTTGAGAAGCAATAAATACAAGAGCACAGATGGCATTTAGATGGGGTCGGTTTTCTGACTAAGCTCAATTTTAAAAAGGTTCTCCAACCTAAGACATAGAATGGTAATTTACTGGCTTTAGACTGCATAGATTTTGTTCTACCCCTCTGAGTTACAATTCCACATGAAATCTTATCTAATAGGACAGCATCTTCTCAACTGGCTGTATGCATAGCTGACAGTGAAATCATTGTAAAGAAAACAGAAAATGCTTCCCAATCCTTTCTTTGGAGAAACAAGGCAAGGCTTTTATTGCCAGGGCTGGATGTCATTAATTTCCAGAAACCTATTAGAAACATGGAAATCAATTCTGAAATGCTTACAGTTTCATGATGGAGTCATTTTAGAAATGATCATTGCTAATGCTGCTATAATTATATCTTTCATTAATTTTTTAAATACACAGTAGCTTACAAATGCAGTGTACACTGCCTGGATAACCTTGTGCAGGAGCTTTTTAAAAGGCTTTTTACATTTATACAATGTTCTCTTTGCTTTTGCCTTATCATCCCTTGTATTGCTGATAGCTGTGTTTTTTATGTAATTCAATACTGCTCATTCCTGCCAGGTCAACAGAATGAATTGAGGGTCACAAGATAACTCACCTGCCTCTAGTCCATAGATTCAATCCCTGTTCCTGCTCATGGTGTGAGAAACAGACTTCCTCAAGTAACAGCTCCCACAGGAAAGGCATTGGCTGTATCCATGTGGATCTATCCCTGCTGGCAGTTTCAGATGAGCTGCCCAGCCAGCTATTAAAATGGAAATTCTCCTGCCTACATCAAGTCTTCTTCTATAATTTCTGAAGTAGACTGGTAGGACATCACATGGAGCAAGCAAGCACTGAAGCTGCCTGTACTGGGCTGGTCTGGTCTGGAAAAAGAAGGAAGATTTTCCCTTCACCAGCCCTCCCAGCTCCTTTGTGTGTGACACCTGCTGACCTCAGATGTACCAGCACTGAGACAGAGGACTGGAGATGCCATGGAAGGAAGAAGCTGATAACACCTAACAGCAAAAGTACCCTCCTTTCTGAGGCAGTTTTCCTTCACTGGACATCCACAAGGTGAGAGACATGAAAAGTTTGGGTGGTTTTTTGCTTCTCTCAATGTACCTTAGGGACCTCTGAAGCCAGATTTTAACAAGATTAGGCCCCACAGAATAGACTGTTAGCATTTTTAATAACTAAAAATAAAATGAAAGCAAAAGGATATAATATATTTAGTAGACAGCATCTTTTGAGATGAACTACAGAAGCAGATGGATGGATCAACAGAAAAGTAAAGCCAGAACTACAGAAAAAGAGCCAAACATATACTTTAATTGATAATACCGAGAGAAAAGCTAATTGCAATGTCATCATAAATAGACTGTTTCATTTATAAAAGCCTGAAACCAACCTTGATTTTTATTTCCTTTCATTTTAAAAGAAAAATGCTTGCAGAGAAGTGCCTTAGCAAGCAAAAAAATCCCCAATAGTAAAATCAACCAAATTAGTGAATACTTCAGCTGACCTAAATCTGTGCTTTTGTTTAGAGAATGTAGAAAGGAAGAAAGTCAAGTAAGATCACTATCTGACTTCAGTTAAAATCCCTCTTTATGTACATCTGTGCATCTAACAGGTAGTGCCAGAAGTAGATATTGAATGGGCAAGAAGTGCTATGAAGCACAATCTGGAAGAATCACCTCCTGGCAGGAAAACAAGCATGTGTTGGTCTGGGTTTCGGTTTGGTTTTTGTTGTTTTTTTGTTTGTTTGGGGTTTTTTTGGGGTTTTCTTGTTCGTTTGTTTTTGTGGGGTTTGTTTTGGTTTGGTTTTTTTTTAAATTTTTCCAGTCCCTGGAGAGGAAGCTCTTCTCTCACTGAAACCAGAGGAAGTCCCAGATCTGGAGCAGTGAGTAGGTAATTCACCACAACTGAAGGTGCTCCTTCTCATTCTGATGTCCAGCAGAGGAGCACATGTTGCTGCTGCTCCAATCTTAACAGATATTGTCTCACTCATAATTGCCTTGATTCCTTTGGGATTTTTTCCCCCACAAACCAGGCTACCCTGGTCCCCCATTTCCTGGGAAATGGTGAGCCTGTGCTAGAGTTGCTGG